GTTAGGTATATGGTTGAATGAGTGTTTGATTATCGGTTTTGGGTTCAACCCCTGTAATTGTAAACCGATGTGAGATTGAGGTTAGGTATATGGTTGATTGAGCGTTTGGTTATCAGTTTTGGGTTGAACCCATGTAATTGTAAACCGATGTGAGATTGGTTGATGATATATGGTTTAGTGAGTGTTTGATTACGGTTTTAGGGTTGAACCCCATGTAATTGTGAACCGATGTGAGATTGGTTGATGATATATGGTTTAGTGAGTGTTTGATTACGGTTTTTGGGTTGAACTCCATGTAATTGTGAACCGATGTGAGATTGGTTGATGATATATGGTTTAGTGAGTGTTTGATTACGGTTTTTGGGTTGAACTCCATGTAATTGTGAACCGATGTGAGATTGGTTGGTGATATATGGTTGAATGAGTGTTTGATTATCGGTTTTGGGTTCAACCCCTGTAATTGTAAACTGATGTGAGATTGAGGTTAGGTATATGGTTGAATGAGCGTTTGGTTATCAGTTTTGGGTTGAACCCATGTAATTGTAAACCGATGGTTTAGTGAGATTGGTTGGTGATATATGGTTTAGTGAGTATTTGATTATGGTTATTGGGTTCAACCCATGTAATTGTAAACCGATGAATTTTTGGGTCGGTCATAATGAAGAAATTCCTAGTTCCTAAACCCTCACCGTCGTGATGCCGTTTCTTCCTTCTCCTCCTTCGTCGGCGCTAGAGGACTGATCCTCGGTTCCTCCCTGTCGACTTCTTCCTTCCTTCTCCTCCTTATTACGAAACCATCGATTTCTTCCTTCCTGCTTCCCTCCCTGTCGATTTCTTCCTTCCTGCTTCCCTCCCTGTCGATTTCTTCCTTCCTGCTTCCTATCTCCCTTCCTTCGTCTTCCCTTCTCTACGCAACCATCGATTTTCCATTCTCCTTTATTCGCCCATCCTTCGTCAGCCGCCGAAGACCCGCAGACCGCTCTCCATCACTCTCCGTCAAGTACGATAACCTCTTCTCCTGCTTTACCTGTGTGTTTTGCGCTTCTAGTAGCCTCAGATTTGGGCGGATTTAGGGTTCCACGGGGTTTTTTGGGAAATTGTTGGTTTTCGTCCAGATTTGTGCGGTTCTAGTTGCTTCATTTTCGGTTTCTATTTGCACTCACGGGTTCTCTTGGGAAACTTATGGGTTTCGCCGGACTTTGGGTTCTTTTGAGAAATTAGGGACTTATGGGTTCTTCTTGGTATGGAGTACGGTTTAGGCTATGGTTTCTTTCATTTGTGAATGTTTGGTTTGTCGCAGAAGTGAAGGGGAAACTATGGTTGCTTAACTCGGTCTTGCCTCGTGTTTGTTTCAATTCATTCGGTCGGTTGTGGGTGGTGAATATGTGGATTTCAATTGTCTCTAAACTTCATTTTGTTGCTTGTTTTCAGTTGATCAACTATGGAAGGGTTGATGGATGATATGAGCACAGGCAAGGACACGGGAATTGACTTGAATGTTGGTTTAGATTGGGGAATGGATTATGGAGATGATACCGGTGGTGTTAGAGATAGTGACGATATGGAGGACAATGTCGACACCACCGATAGTGATTCTGAGGATGATAATAACACTAACTTTGGTGATGATGATAAAGAGAACATCTCAGATGAGCATTTGCACAGCTTCGAAACACAGCCACACAGCTCAGATGCACCTCTACACAAAGATGCTGCAAATCCAGCCATGGCTCCACCGTACTCGAGTATGTATGACTGGACCTTGCTTGATAAAGTCGGGAATGGTAAGCCATATTCTAAATGGGAGTCGGATGATGTTGTGGGTTATGAGTTTGAAACCCTTGTGGAGGCTGCCAAGTTCTATTCAACTTATGGTTGTGCCATGGGATTCAGCGTACGGAAGAACACTCACACATTTTCAAAATATGGAGTTAAAAATATGCAGCGATGGGTTTGCTCACGCGAGGGGGAGCGTCAACCAGTGCACAATGACAAGGAGAACAGAAAGCGTGAACCTAGGCCTGTAACAAGGCTCCATTGTCCGGCAGCTTTCAAAGTCAGTTTTGTTGAGGCAACTAACCGATTCAAGGTGAAACAGTTTATACCAACACATTTTCATCACTTAGCTGGAGCACATGAAGTGCAGTTTTTGAGTTCTCATCGCAAGGTAGATGACGCAAGTAAGGCTCAGATTCGATCACTTAGGGCTGCTGGTATTCGCACCAATCAAATAATGGATTATCTAGTGAATTGTGCGAGAAGCTTTCAGAACTTGGGTTTCACTAAGACCGATGTCTACAATTTTGTTAGTGCGGATCGGAGGTCGGAGATCTTGGATAGTGATAGTGAAGCTGCACTTGCCTACTTACAAGCACGGGCAACTACCGATCCTCGTTTTTATTGTAGATATACAGTAAGTGATGGTGGTGAACTAGGCAATATGTTATGGGCTGACTCTTCTTCACAATTGGATTATAGTCTCTTTGGAGATGTTCTTGTTTTTGACTCGACGTACAAAACTAATGCATATAATCTTCCATTTCTTCTATTCATTGGTGTGAATAATCACAATGCAAGCACTGTTTTTGCATGTGCTTTACTTGCGGATGAAACGGCGGAGAACTACGTATGGATTCTAAATGCTTTTTTACATTGCATGGGTGGTAAGAAGCCAACCGCAGTTATAACAGATGGTTGTTCTTCAATGAGGAAAGCTATCAAGTCGGTTCTCCCTGGATCCCGACATCGGTTATGTTCTTGGCACTTGGGCAATAACGCAGAAGCGCGTGGCCATGCGGAAGGCTTCCGGGAGGATTTCAAACGATGCATGCTAAACTGCAGTTCTATTCCACAATTTGAAGCTACGTGGAAGGAAATTTTGTCCAAGTATGACCTGGAGCACAATGCGTGGATGAAGAAGATGTATAGGCGACGAGCTCTATGGGCCACAACTTACTTGAAAGGTATTTTCTTTGCTGGGATGACTACGTCACAACGTTGTGAGAGCATGAACTCTTATCTAGACAAATTCTTGCAAAGTAAGATGAAGTTGTTTGAGTTTGTCAAGCAGTTTGACATGGCACTTTTGTATAGGAGACAAACTGAGTTACATGACCAGTTTAAGACAATACATACTGATGTTGTTTTGATGACACATTTACATGAAATTGAAAGACATGCCTCTATAGTATATACAAGAAATGTGTTCAGGAGCGTTCGAGCAGAAATAGCGAGAGAAGTTCATTACTATATTACAGACAAGTGTGTGTTGACCAATAAAACAATTTACACATTGTCACGATTCAAATACCCTGACTCAAAGTGCACTGTGGTCTTTTACACGAGTGGACATGATGTGCATTGTTCTTGTGGCATTTTTGAGTTCTGCGGAATTCCATGTCGGCATATATTCTGTATATTGAAAGCAGAAAATCAAATACAAATTCCAAAGTCACTCATTTTGAAGCGTTGGACTAAAGATGCAAAAGAGTTCGATCCCTCGAGTATGGGAAGCTGTCCTACCCAGCAAAATATTAGCAGGTATTATAAATTTAAGCTGTTGATTTAGTTCTTTGTTTACTTCTATTGTGCTAGGAACCAACTACAAAATTGCTTGTTTATTTGGACAGGTTTGGATTCTTGGTTGGTCAATGTAGTAGAATGTGCCATTATGCTGTGAGTTCGGATGAAGCATTTCATACTGCCAAAGGGTTGATTGAAGACTTGACCTTGCGAGTGAAGACAATAAGTGAAGAAACAACCAACAAAACAAATAATGCTACTACGGATGCTGGAGTGAACTCCTCTCAGTTTATTAAGGACCCCCATCCAGTTCGAAGTAAAGGTAATGTGAAGCAACCTCAAGTGAAAACACGGTTGTGCAAGTATTGTAGGCGTCCTAAACATACAATCAGAAATTGTCCGCTGAAAAGAATGGCTGAAGCAGGTGCAGGTGATAGTCATTTCACGCAACAAGAATACAACTTCGAGTCCATAGGAGCAGGTGAAAGCAGCTTTCATGTGGAGACTCAAGAATCTGTTCTACTTCCCAAACGATCCAAGCACAACCTGTAATGCTGGTGCTCGGCTTCAAACAACATTATGTTTCATCTTGTCATGTTTGTTTTGTACAAGTTAGTATCCTAGTGACATTGAATGGATCTATGTAATGCTTGTGTCTAGCTTCAAAGAACATTATGACTCATCTTTTCATAAGCTTGTAGTTTTCAAAAACAGTATATTATGTTTCTTACACTCTTATAATAAGTACAGGGGTTAGTTCTACATGTGAATGCCTGTGCAGGCCAATTCCGGAAATCTCACGGCCGTGAAAGCATGCGTGATTTTTGGATTTGAAATTTTGAAAATATCACGGCCGTGAGAGTAACCGTGAGAGAGGCCGTGAGATGGTCACAGTTGAAACCCTAAACCACGCCTCATAACTGGAACCTCACGGCCGGGAGATATGCCGTTAGAATTCTTTTTAAAATTTGTAACTTCCAGGGAGTTTCACGGGTTATATCCCGCCCGGGACAATAAGCCGTGAGATGAGCCGTTAGATTTTTTTGAAAAAGGGGGGGACTTCCAGGGGGTTTCACGGGTTGGTCTCGCCAGTATCACGGCCGTGAGATGAGCCGTGTTTGTGCAATTGAAATGCTGAACTTCTCACGGCTCATCTGTTAATCTCACGGGCGTGAGATAAACCCGTGAGATGGTCACAGTTGAAACCCAAAACCACGCCTCATAACTGGAACCTCACGGCCGGGAGATATGCCGTTAGAATTCTTTTTAAAATTTGTAACTTCCAGGGGGTTTCACGGGTTATATCCCGCCCGGGACAAAAAGCCGTTAGAATGTTTTTAAAAAAATTGTAACGGACAGGGAGTTTCACGGTTTATATCCCGCCCGGGAGAAAAACCGTGAGATGGAATGCAGCAAATTGGAAACACCCTGTTTTAAATTCCTCTTTTCTACTTGAACCCGACCCCCAACCCTCTGTTTTACTTCGACCCAGAACCCTCTTCTCCCCAAGCCTCTTCTCCCCCGACCCCCAACCCTGTACTCCCTCTGTTCTCACTCGCTCGCCATCGCACTTCGACCCCCCAAGCCTCGCCCTCACTCGCTCGCCATCGCCCTCGATCGGTCGCACTCGCTCGCTCGCCCTCGAAGATTCTTCCGCCGCCGACCACTTCCCCACGACTCCTCTGGTAACTGCTCCAAGGTTCAGCGGCGACGGCGACCATTTCCCCACGAGTCTCTGCCCTCTGTTCCACTTCGTGAGTTCTTCTTAACCACAGCGGCCATCTTCTCTGGTTTCTTGCATTTTTTAGGGTTTAGTTGCCCAAGGTTGGTCTGAATTAGGGTTTTGAATTCCTAATTGTGATTAGAATGCTCCTGGTTGGTCTGAATTAGGGTTTTGAATTCCTAATTGTGATTAGAATGCTCCTGAGTGGTCAGTTCCTTATCATCCCTTCCCCACTCATTCTGCTCTTTTCAACTCTTTATGATTTGCTTAAGCCATGCGATTGGATCTGAGATTTTTCGCTGGTACGCTGGTAGTCTGTTGATTATGTTTAGGTAATGAGGAGCTGAAGCTGGTATAAGCTGTAGCCTGTACTGTCTTTGGTACCGCTAGGGTTGTAATTGGTAATGCGAGGCTGTTGCTGCTTTCTATTATCTCCAGCAATTGGTTTGTGTAGAGCATTGACATGGTTCTGACTGATCATGATGGTTTAGACGTGATTGAAATGCTCCAGGGATCATCTACCTTGACGTCACATTGAGTATTCCACCTCATCGATCTCTAAGGAAGAAAGCAAGGAGAACAAACTTTCCTAGCTCGATACAATCCTTGGACAAGGAATGCAACAAAGAGATGGAGATCGAAATACAGAGAGTGATTGAAATACAGAGAGATCGAAATACATAGAGAGAGGTTTTGAGTGGGAGGGATGCAAAACCCCTGACCAAGGTTGCATCTAGCTAGGAAAGTTTGATCTGTCCGGTATCACCCCAGCTCCAAGGGGAGTTACAAACGTGGAGATCGAAGAGGATGGAATACTCAAAGAGACGTCAAGGGAGAAGTCTGTAAGTCTATATCTTCCAGTATCTTTTCATAAGCTTGTAGTTTCCACAAACAGTATATTATGTTATTGTTCTGTTTATAGGGTTTTGAATTCCTAATTGTGATTAGAATGCTCCTGGGATTAGAATGCTCCTGGTTGGTCTGAATTAGGGTTTTGAATTCCTAATTGTGATTAGAATGCTCCTGGTTTGTTGCATTTTTTTAGGGTGTAGACGTCTCTTTGTGAATTGCATATGCTTATGCATAATTCTTTTCCCTCTCATTCACTAAAGACTTAATGTGCTTAGTTGGTTTTTGTAGGAATGGGGAAAGCTAAACAAAAAACCACGCAACCATCAGCCTCACCTGCTAAAGTGAAGGCTACTTATCGTCGTCGCCGCCAAACCCAAGAACGAGACACTCCCCCCAAACGACAACGCAAAAACAACCAAGGACGAGCACGTCAACCATCTCCACCACCACAAACGGAGGCTCAACTTGGAGGAGGGGGACTTCACGGCTTCCTCCAATTACCCGACAAACATAGGAGGGCTTTAGAGCGCTTCCTTCCCCTCCCATTTGGGCAGCAAAGATGCATTGATTGGGATCTCCTAGAGCGCCTCGGAGCAGCGGACCCCGTTCGCACATGCCTCCGTCTCCCGGCATGGTGTGAGGTTCTCTCCATCAATGAGGTCATCTACCGAGAGCTTACCATTGAGTTCCTCAGCACTCTCTCCATCAAGTTTATGTGCGAATTTCACCTCGACAAGCCCGAAGACAACATAACTTTTCGCCTTGGAGGACAGGCGAGACAGATGAGCATCACTGAGTTCACAGAGGCACTCCAGATATACCCACCAGGATTTCTCACTACAGGTCATGGTTTGATTTCAGAGAAAGTATATTCACCAAGAGCACAATTGGTCGATGCTATGTGGAAAAGGGTAAAACAAAACCATGTGGACAAGTCTGACACTGCCCACTATAAAGGGAATGATCTTCTTCCCCCATGGCGTATCATCCACAACATTATCGCTCATTCTGTGGCAGCTAGGGAGGGGAGCCCGGGGAGTGTGACCAAGCGGGATTTGAACTTTTTCCTCTCTATGGTAAAAGATCCCCCAATTCATCTTGGTTTAGTCATACTGAAAACCCTACATAAGATGACCTCCAACAAACAAATCAAGACCATCCATGGAGGTGCCTACATCACAAGGCTAGCTCGGCATTTTGGCATTGATCCGGTGGGTTCTCATTGCACCATTGCCCAGTCCACTCAACCAATCTCCCAAAAAAACCTTGCGGATCTATATTTGTTGTCAAAGGTAAATGTTCCAACCAACACTTTCCTTTTCACAGTGAATGCTAAAACAGAACTAGTCGGGATTCAAACAATCTAGGATTGATTTTGTGCAAGTTTTGGATTGCCTACTAATCTAGTTCCTTTTGAACATTGAGCAAATGTAACTAATGCTTCTGATATTGATCATGTCTGGGTTTGGTGGTTAAGGAGAATGGTGTGGTAGGCATTGTTGGCCTCCCTCATCCTGCTCCACCTCTTGCAACAGATGAGGCAAACGCATCGGAGCATGTTGTTCAGCAAATGGTCGAGGAGTCTCCGCAACAACCTGCACAACATCACCAAACTACGACTCAAGCCGGACCATCCACCGACAGATACATTTCCCATTTTGAGGCATTGGGTCGGCAGAATGCCCAAATTCTCGAGCAAAATGCACTCATTCTCTCCCGCCTCGATCGAGAAAAGGAAGCTCGACGCTACATCATCAAATGCAACCATCACATCATGAGGTCCTTGAGGATTGACTACAAAAAATTCTCAACACCTTGGGAACTATCTCCTAGGCCAACCGAGGAAAGCAATGAAGAGGGAAGTGAAGAGGACGACGAGGGCAACGACGATGAACAAAACAAGGAAATAAATCAAGAGGACAAAGGGACCGATGAGGAAGAGGGCAGTGAAGAGGACGACGAGGGAAACGGCGATGAACAAAACAAGGCAATAAATCAAGAGGACAAAGGGACCAATGAGGAAAAGGGAAGTGAAGAGGAGGACGACGAGGGCAACAACGATGAACAAAATAAGGAAACAAATCAAGAGGACAAAGGGACCAATGAGGAAGAGGGCAGTGAAGAGGAGGAAGAGGGCAGTGAAGAGGAAGACGAGGGCAATGGCGATGATCAAAACAAGGAAAGAAATCAAGAGGACAAAGGGACCAATGAGGAAAATGGCAGTGAAGAGGAGGACGACGAGGGCAATGGCAATGAACAAAACAAGGAAAGAAATCAAGAGGACAAAGAGACCAATGAGGAAGAGGGCAGTGAAGAGGACGACGAGGACAATGGCAATGAACAAAACAAGGAAAGAAATCAAGAGGACAAAGGGACCATTGAGGAAGAGGGCAGTGACTCTAGCGAGGACAATGAAGATGAGCAAATCCAGCAAAACGAAGACGAGGACGAGAGCACTGACGAGGAAGATGGGCAGTGAAGATGACCCAACAAAAGTCCTTAGTACTTACCTATGTGTGTTTGCGTTTGTGCTTGTATGTTTTCCAATTAGAATATGATGATGCACTAGTGTGGGCTACATGCAGCTAAACATAAGCATTAATTAGACAGATTTAATCGTGTTATGGATGCTTGTTTTATTAGACAAATGTAATGCTTTGACTGCGTTTCACTTTTTGTTAACAGGGTATCTCATCTGATATGATGTACAGTTACTAGAGAACATTGTGAATGGATCTATGTAATGCTCGTGTCAAGGTTTAGAGAACATTATGAATCATCTTTTTCATAAGTTTGAAGTTCTGGAAAAAAGTCCATTCTGTTTGAAACACCATTATAATAAGTACACGGGATAGTTCAACAGGTGAAAGTCTCCTACTGGAAATCTGACACCTTATACTGGTAATCTCACGACCGTAAAATACTCAAGTTAGATGTAAAAACCAGTGCTTCATTCCTCAGGCAAATATCACGGCCGTGAGATGTCCCGTGAGATGCAAAGAGCAGTTCTCACTATCCCAGGAAATTTAATAAATCCCTTTATGGTACAACCCAAAATTGTACCTATACTAATGGTACAACTTTTATGGTACAACCCAAACTTGTACCTATACCATGGTACAACTTTAAGTTGTACCTACACTTTCTAACAAATCCCTTTATGGTACAACTAAAAATTGTACCTATACTAATGGTACAACCTTAAGTTGTACCTACACTTTCTAATAAATCCTTTTATGGTACAACCCAAACTTGTACCTATACGAATGGTACAACTTTAATTTGTACCTACACTTTCTAAAAATCCTTCTATGGTACAACCCAAACTTGTACTTATACTATGGTACAACTTTAAGTTGTACCTACACTTTCTAATAAATCCCTTTATGGTACAACCCAAAATTGTACCTATACTAATGGTACAACCTTAAGTTGTACCTACACTTTCTCCAAATCCAGCTATGGTACAACCCAAACTTGTACCTATACCATGGTACAACTTTAAGTTGTACCTACACTTTCTAACAAATCTCTTTATGGTACAACTAAAAATTGTACCTATACTAATGGTACAACCTTAAGTTGTACCTACACTTTCTAACAAATCCCTTTATGGTACAACTAAAAATTGTACCTATACTAACGGTACAACCTTATGTTGTACCTACACTTTCTCAAAATTCTTTTATGGTACAACCCAAACTTGTACCTATACCATGGTACAACTTTAAGTTGTACCTACACTTTCTAACAAATCCCTTTATGGTACAACTCAAAATTGTACCTATACTAATGGTACAACTTTAAATTGTACCTACACTTTCTAATAAATCTCTTTATGGTACAACTCAAATTTGTACCTATACTAATGGTACAACCTTAAGTTGTACCTACACTTTCTCAAAATCCTTCTATGGTACAACCTAAACTTGTACCTATACTATGGTACAACTTTAAGCTGTACCTACACTTCCTAAAAATTCTTCTATGGTACAACCCAAACTTGTACCTATACCATGGTACAACTTTAAGTTGTACCTACACTTTCTAACAAATCCCTTTATGGTACAACTCAAAATTGTACCTATACTAATGGTACAACCTTAAGTTGTACCTACACTTTTTCAAAATTCTTTTATGGTACAACCCGAACTTGTACCTATACTATGGTACAACTTTAAGTTGTACCTACACTTTCTAACAAATCCCTTTATGGTACAACTAAAAATTGTACCTATACTAATGGTACAACTTTAAGTTGTACCTACACTTTGTGAAACAAATTCTTCAATGGTACAGCTGAAACTTGAACCTATACTATATGGTACAACTCTAATTTGTACCTACACTTGTATACATTGATTCATTATTTACAAGATTGCCATTAATGATGTGGGACCAGTCATTTAGTGGGTTACCTCCTCAACAGGTCACCTTTTTTTTTTTGTTTTTTATAGCATGGGTGCTATAGAGCACACTAGAAGGGCTCATGTAAAAGGACATATCCCAAGAGCAACAAGAAACGGCCTTGACCAGCCACCCCAAAATTGACCATGTCTATGATACATTCCACATTATCTCGTTTCAGACATTGGCATCAAGAAAATCCAAACTTTCATAACATTGATTCCACTTAATTTATTCCCGCCGATACCGTGTTCGTCGGCTCGAACAGTCCGATGACAGAAAGGGCACGTCTGCTGCCCCTGAAACCACATTCCCACACAGGCGACGTGGAAGTGGTGGCTGCAACAGGGCAGCTCCCAGAAGCGGTCCCCAACAGTGTACTGCTCGAGACATATCCCGCAGTCGGTGATCTGCTCGCCGCAGTCAGGGGAAAACTCCCTCACGGGGAGTGCCGCGAGCGTGTCAGGAGAGACAGGCTGCACAACGGCAGAAACCGGCTCCATCTCCAACTCCGGAGCAGCTGGAGGGAGTTGCTGGGTGGGAGCGCCTGAGAAGCAGGTGCTCCTCACCCAGACGAAACACCTGTAGGCTCCGTAGAGAATGCCGAGTACGGTGATCAGGACGCCAACAATCACTGCGACCTGATCTCCCCTCGAACTCTCGACTCCTTGTTCGACGAAGAATCGTGCCATTTTTTTTTAGTTAGTAGCTTGTGTATCGGTAGGTTCTGAAACTGGGCAGCCTATATATACCAGGTTACCTATCTTTCTAATATCCTTTGCAAGGTTTGGATGACAGCATACCATCCCATGAAGGCCAACACTAAGCTTGTTTGAATGGACAGGTTTTGTATATCTTACCTGAAACATTACACTCACAACGTAAAATGCAATTTCAAATGCCACAGTCGTATTCTCGCCACAAATTACTCATATAATGGATAATTAGCTTAGCGGGTCAAAGTCAAAACCATTTCCCCTTTATAGAGTTTCAACTTTTGATATCGTACGTATGGTTTGTTCATATAATAATGATCATGTATTTATTATTATTTTGTCATGCATAATGTCAACACCCCAATCCCCATTTCCTGTGTGAAATAAGATATACTCGATTTGGAAGATCCAAGGTTATTTTGGATTAACAATTGTGAATCACAAACATCTCTAGTAACCAGTACGGTTTAATATGGTTGGTACATAGATCCATACATATAACAAACATCTTCCAAATGAATTCTATGACAATTATTCATTCCACATAACCCATGTAGGAATATAACGTTACATAACAAGTATAACACACGTTATATAACGTAGATGATTGTAATAGTTTGTTTTTAATATATTATTAAACATGTTATATGTGCACAAGGTTTAAAATTGATCATATAATCAATCATCCAAGTAACCAATAGTTTTTTTTCTTCTTCTTCAGATTACTTCATGATGATATACCTAGCTTTATAAATCAACTAAGCGAGTTTCTCTAATCACATAAGTCTTTACCAAGAATCAAATAACAAATCTTGAGTTTTGTTATATAACAACATAAATACATTGATTAGGTTACATGACTTTGTCGGAACACAAGGATTATTCTCAAAAGTGGTATATCTATTTTTATTTCAAAGCATAAAATTTGGCATTTGAAGATTCTATGATTTTGTAACAATACATTTTCAATGCTATAAGCAGCAGACGATTCGGTATCATAGTGCTATTAAAGTATTAAGTGTATGTCGAAGTGCACCCGGAGATTGATCATAGTCTTTTCTCCAAAAAAAAAAGATTGATCATAGTCGGGGATAATAACTGATTTCATTAATTGCTCGTGTGGTGACTATTGGTGAAGACTAAATATAGGGCCTGTTTATTTTCATTTCTGTTTCCTGTTTTTGAGAAAACAGATGTTGAAAACAGGTGACAACAACATTTTTCCGTTTCCGAAAACAGCAAGAAGTTGCCACTTTCTGTTTTCATGGTTGGAAACGAATAGAAATCAGAATGAAAAGTAAACAAGTTTTCTCATTTCGGTTGCCAAATTTATCACATAAAAACAGAAAACAGGAAACGAAAATGGAAGTGAACAGGGTAAGGGTCACTATTTTCTTCCTTGTTTCTTCTTCTTCTCCAACAACAAATAGCAACCCAACCCAATACTTGAGTTGATTCAAACGATTACATTACGGTAATGTTTTCGTCATTAACTAAACAAACCCTGTTGTTTTTATAAGTTAGCAACCTAAATAACTTCCAAACCATAGCGAAATTTCATGAGAATATCACCTAATCTCCAACAATCCACGAACCTGATTGAACCCAGTAGACGTAATCATCAACTTAGCAATTCGACACATATCACCTCTATCGATAAGGCTCACACTTACACATTGAGAAGCTACTTAGATGTCCTGTCATGGATAAGCGTTATCTTGTTACGCAAGGTATATAAGGTGAAGTATGGCATTATCATTACACTGCATAACAGTACAAGATAAGAGAGTTGGGCATCTCAAAGAGATTTAACATACTACAACTCTCACCCAACGGTGAGGTTATTCCAAACAAATATATGACTGACCCCCAAAAAATTTTGAACTAAAAGAAATGGAAAACTAAGTACCTATAATCTCAGTCTATTGTATAAATGTTAGCAATATAAAGATGGTTCTAGTTCCATCTTGTAATGCTCTCGTCCATAAAAGTACTCTTTTTTTCTTTAAGTAGGTATGCTAAATCCTATATGGTGTCACAGAAGACCAAAAAAAACTCTGAAAGGAAAACCAAGCAACAAATCCAGCTAGTTCTCTTCGTAATAATTTGATGGATTATGAAACTTCATTGACGAAACCCAACTGCGAAACAAGAAAACCTGCAGAGTAAAAATCAGAAACAATCAATTGATTTTCGCTAGCATGCTGACAGATAGATGCCAGCACAGCCTGACACCATCCAATTGCGCAATAAGATTGATGAAGATCGATTGTGCCAGCTCTGTTGACACCTATGTCATTCAACCTATTAACTGAATTGCAAAATTCGCATAATCTATGAAAACCGTTACCTGTTATCATATGTTTGTGCCATTCTCCTTAACATAACTCGATTTGGTAGTAGGACCAATTCCAAATGACGAATCTAGCCATCCAGTAAGTTTAGCTTTCTCGATATAGTAGCCGAATTGTTTCTCAGCATCAGGGACATCCAATCTCAAATCCTCCATGGACTCTGCAACTCTCCCAAAACCTTTCGTCATTTGGTACGACGTTATGAGCCCCGATCGAAACCCCTCGTTGAGCAAACCCCACAGCTTCTCACTCTTGCTCTCCATGATTTTCACCAGTGCTTTCTTCACCACTTCATGGTGGAAAAACGGCATCCCGAGTTCTTTTATGCAACGACAAGCTTCCCTAATGTCCCCACCGGATTCAAACTCTTCCAGCAACTTGCCAATCTTGTCCTTCACATCCTCAACTGCCCATCCATTCTTGCTGCTGCTACCTCCACCACCCCAGCACCTCAAGATCCTCTCTCCAGCAAGCCTAGCCTTCAGCAAGGATTTAGCCATTTGGAGAACTTTGTTCCCTGTTGACTCTGTCCCAAGGAATTGACTCTCAATTTCCTCCAGCTGTTGTGGGGCTATGACTTCATCCACCACAGCTCTAGCTAAAAACATTCCAAGATCCTCAACAACAATCGGATTATCTAGAACGGTATCGTCTGCAGATTCTATTAGCATAATAAGTCCATGCACAACATCATCTGTAGGGAAACATAAAGAAGATAGTAACACAGAAGCCATTTCTTTCTCCCGATTCTTTCTGTCCATTGCTAGAGTCACTAGCCTTTTGATGAACATTGCATTTAGGTCAGGTGAGCAAGAACTGTTCTCGGATTCAATGCAATCACTCACCTCTGCTATATCACCTGACAAGAAATACTCTTGAATGATGGATTGTGCCTTCATCTTGAACATCTTTGCAGCAGTATCTTCCACAGATTCTTTTGGAGACGGTGGTGAGAGTGATTTCAAAGAAGAAACAGACAACCATCCTTCTGATGCGGCTTTTGATATCAAGGATTTCAGAATCTCTCTTGCATCTGGAATGTCAAGCGACAAATCATCAACAACATCTATCATCCTGCCAAACCCCTTTGTAACCTGACTGGAATTGATCAGACCTTCTTCAGTTGTTTTCTTGAGCAACTCTAGCAACTGGCTTTCGACTGCCCGTCTCTCCATAGCCATAACAAGGGCTCGTTTGACTATCTCATGGTGAAAGAAGGGAACTTTCAGTTCCTTGATGCACCTGCAAGCCTCCTTCTTATCACCACTTGCTATAAACTCTACCAACAAGTTGTTTATTTTCACCTTCACATCATCAACTGTTTTATTCATGCTGCTTACCCATCTCCGCTCAATAATTTCAGAGTGGAGTGGAGCTGCTAAATAACCCTTTTCGGCTCTCCTCAACACATCTACCCCCTTAGAATCTGCAGGTAAAGAAGCGAGTTGCTTTTTCAAGAATGCAGGCGGGAGTATGTCATCAACCACGGCTCTGGCTATGAACAAGGCAAGAACATCAACTGTGTCAGGTATGTCTACAATCAAGTCATCTGCAGATTCCACCAATTTGCTGAAACCTTTATAGACTTGGGAAGGGTCGATGACCTCTGAATAGAGAGCGGATAAAAGAACAGCAGCCATTTCCTTTTCTTTGTCATGTCGGTCCATTGCCATGGACACTAGTTTCTTGACAAAGTAATAACTATAGCCGGGCAACTTGAGTTCCCTCAGTTCGTTTGCTGTTGATACAACATCGCTAGTTGCAAAGTATTCTTCCACAATAACAGTAGCTTTCCTTTTGTAGGCATCTAATTTTCTCGGAGTTCCTTTTATTGTTGGATCACCATCCTGTTCCTGAAATACAAAGCATTCAATGCTATCATGATGATTTCATTTGCCACCCTTTTCACTTCTTCTGTTACTAGTAATGATTTTTTAAGTTGGTAGTACCTCTGTGCTATCATAGTTTGGATCATTATTGTACAATGCACCCTCTGCAGGATCATGTAACCCTCCACATGTTCCTTTCCCTACAGAAGCACCTGGGAAAGTGCGCAAAATAAGAGAAAAAAAGACCCAGAAACCTAAGTATGATTCATTTATTGATCAATGCAGATTGGATTTCCAGACTGATCAAACCATTTACAATTGAAAACCTATGATGCCGTTCTAGACAGTCAAAATTCTGAATCAGGAAAACGGACGGCGCAGTTAGTAATTCTATTCATAAATAATAAGCAGCTTGGTATATTTTACCTTTCTTAGGCTGTCCATCCATATAAGGAGGCGAGAGTTTGTCATCTGAGTTGCGTTCTTGTTGCTGTTGTGTGGTTACAGGAGAGGAAGGAGACTTGTGAGAGGAGGATGAACCTAGGGAGATTTGCAATGGAGAAACAGATGAAGGATCTTCACTTTCCAGAGCAGATCTCGCAAGCTCCAGTTGTTCTTTTGATACAAACCCATTACTCGACTCCATTATTATTCTTTGATATGTATAAAGATTCAACAAAAACAAAGCAATAATCGCAAAAACAAAAACCAATTGCAAGAATTTCTTTCTTTGTCAAAAGTTATTCACAATCCTTTCCAAATCACAAAATTACTAGGGAGTTGAGATGGGGTTTTTGCAGAACTGACGCCAACCCTTGTTTGTGTAAAGGGGAAAGAAAACAGCTTCCCAATTAATCGAAACCTCCTTCCCCTGATATAGGGAGAGAAAAAAAAAAAGAAAAAAAAGAAATCAATCACACAATTCAGCAAACATAAAACACCATTTGTTACTGCACCCACAATCTCGAGGAAGAGATCACCGACCTTTGTGGTTGGCGATTCTGCTCGTCGTTAGATTTCCAATCAACAAGACCCACCCATCCATTATCAGTTACGTTTCCTTTTGGACACTAAAACCACCAGAGAAAGAGTTCGATCAGTAACCGCAATTGGGTATTTGTTTTTAGGGTTCACAACAAAAGCAAACAATGATTAAAGAAATCGGCGAGCGATGTCATAACAATGCAATCAATGAATGAACGATTACCTGAAATCTGCTGAAGGACGTAGTTTATATTACTAGCGATGAAATTTTGGTTTTCTGTTCGCCAGAGCGCACGCCACTGCACACCGGCGAAGCGAAAATCAAAACCCGGTGGGGTTTTTTTTGGGCCTCTTCAGCTCTTTTACCCCCTTCTCCTCCCCAGCAATGAATTCCTGGCCTTCTTCTGAAATCCAGAACCGAGATGCGTTTTGATTGCAGATTTCAGGAGGCTAATAATAGAAGGGGAAGGGAGAAGAAGAAGAAGAAGAAAAGGAAGGGAATGGAACAGAAGAAGTATTGTTGACAGTTAGAAAATAGGGATGGATGGGTTAAGGCAGGATTCCGTTATCAAATTCAACGCGCCGATTGTTGTGGAGGAAGAGGAAAGGGGAAGCTATTCCTAGCTTTTTTTTCTTATTCTTCTTCTTCACTGAATTTAATAAATAATAAAAATATTGATCTTACTTTTGTTCTCAAATTTTCTAGTTTTTACCATCAAGATCCTGAACTTTATTGTTCCTCTTAAATTAGCTCACGTCCTTGGTATCGGCTCATGTTGTTGTTGTCTATATCAAAATTACGAGACAAATTTGTGATAGTATAGTTGACACACTCTTCTTTTGTTTTTTTTTTTTTTTTTTTTTTTTTGCGTGAAGCAGGAGGCTGAAGCCAAGAAGATTACAAAGGGGGATTAGGAAGAGGGGGAGAAAGAGCTGGAGACAACCCTCCGCTCGAAACTAGTACCCATTCTATCATCTCGCAGAATCGAGGTTAAATCTGTTGGTGGGTTCGCAAGCTCATACATACCAAAAGGATGGACGAGATTGTGCTTCGAGAGCCAATCCGCGACTCTATTATTTTCTCTGTACGTATGAGTGACCACTCACTTGATCGAGATTGTGAGTTCGCGACTCTATTCCCTTCTCCGTGCTTCGAGAGATCATACCCTTTGTTCTTCCTTGATCGAGATTGAAGCAAACACTCACTTGGAAACCTTAATAATGGTGATATTTTAGTTTGTGTGCCTTTCTGTGTGTCGGTTAGGCACAATGAAATCGAGGTTGTCTTACAACGACGTGGTACAAGAGTTCATTGGGTTGCTCGGATTTTTACGAACTCTGATTGTTTGAGCGATTGGACAATGATTCTTAACTTAGTCCTAAATTTAAGAGGTGTAATGTTGCTTCTCATTCGATTCAATGGAATCAAGTTATTCTTACTGTAAACAGAAGACCTAAATAGTTTTGAGGGGGTTATACCCCCTCCTCACTTCAATCTAACTCCACCACTGTTCATATACTAATTGCTACATCAAGAACTAGTTATGTAATTGTTTTACAGCGAGGAAACTTGCGTTCGAAATTAATGGTTGCACTTTTGGCGTATATGGATAGCGACTCTATATATGGTTCATGTCTCTTCAAACAATGTTCCAGGAGGGCGTTTTATGTTTTTGTTTGTCTTCCAAGAACAAGTTAAGTTAACTTACACAAACTCATATGAACGTTTAGAGAGAGCTCCAAATTAAAGGCTGTAGGTATTGCTACTGCTACATTGCAAAGAAAAGATAAGATTTGACATGTGATATAAAATGTTGGTTTTGAGATCTGTCTTCCATCTTCTTCCTCCAATTTATAGCTAAATGATGTAATCACCGTGGTAACCGCTAGCTTGTTGTCCGCTCTAACCGTCTCGCATCACCTCATTGTCGCCAATGACTAGTTGGTAATCGTTGTCCATGTGTGTGATCCAACTGCCTCGTGGGCCCCTCGTCACATTTTTGTTCTCATGGTCTCGTTGACTAGATAGGCTTGAAGCCTCCTCTCCTTGTGTCCCTCATGTAATCTTAATCACATCGCCCCTGCTATCGGGCCTCCTTTACCGATCTGACAGCCCTGGTGACTCCATGGTATCCTCACCACTCTCGTCCTGTCAACCACCTCAAACACAATGTCACTATCTTGTTGGTTAGCCCTTGTTATCCACCTTGATATGAGAACTTATCTCCTTCCACGTCTAATTACATGATCTCTACCCATCAAGATTTCATACTTAGTCTCGGAGGGCTTGACATGATACATCCTGTCAGCTTGGTATCTAGTCCATCTCGTCATTTTGTTACCAATTCGACTTGCCACCAAGCACGTCTCATCGACTTGACATCTTAATGCTTGTCACAATGCTTTCCATCTGTACTTGTCACCAAGTCTGCCTTAAGACCTTATGTCCTCTCAGTTTGCCACCAAGTTTGTCTTGCCTGCAAGCTCGTTTTGCTGGTATGATACCATGTTGCCTTGTCTTCGTCTTGTTAACAAGTAATTGGAAACATAACCCAGGCATGCCCCCCTTACGAACTAGGCGACCATAGCTTGTGTCATCAACATAATACCTTGTTGCCTTGCCGATTTGGTACTGATAATTGTCGAAAACATATTGATTCCATGTACCTAATGTGATTATTTCATGATATGTTTGAGACATAAAATGCTTGTTTTAGAGCTGATTTACTATGGAATGTCTATAAAACCATTGCCACCCAGTGCCATAAATTCTATGTGTTGTAGGTAAAAAAACAAATATCCCGCTACAAGCATATTACATAAGAGTACAGGAGGATACACCAAGCCATCTGACAAAGAACTGAATCTTTCTATTTTGGACCGAAATGAATTTAATCCCTCCTTAAAAAGTAACATTGGGCCAAAGGGCCATTGTACTTCCTTTTCCCTGAGGAGTGCGGCCAAAACAATGAAGGAGGGGGATTAATTGGAGCAGCTTAGGGAGATTTGGACCAGGGAGGAATGTGGAACGCAGTGTTTTGAGGAGGAGTGGATTAAATTGAAGGACAATTGGAGCTAGGGTGGAACAGCAAAGTGGAGGAATATATTTCACGGGGACAATTAATTTGGAGGGGAATTCTCGGGGGGGGGGGGGGGGGGGGGGGGGAAGGGGATGTAGCGCAGCTTGGTAGCGCCCTTGTTTTGGGTAAAAAATGTCACGGGTTCCAATCCTGTCCTGTCATCCCTACCTATTACTTCTCCTCTGGCTTTCTGAGCAAACTAGTCTTTTTTCAGTAAGCTAGAGATTCCTACTCTACCAGACGTTGACCGGCTTACATCAAGCACTTTGGGGCGCTGGCTTTTGCTTGCCCAGTTGCTTCTGATTTGACTTCTTTTGGCGATAGACCATATCCACACCCTTCTTGAAAGCAGAGGAATTCTTCTCCCACTTGTCACCCTTCCTTGTGCAGTTAGTTCTCCTGCGTAAAGGCTTTTCTAATATTTAAGTGACCTCAACACAACTGCTGATTCTTTGCAAGGGATGGTGCTACTAAACATAAAAAAGCCAGCTCAAATCTTGTGCTCAATGAGGTCCCAGTACCTTATTCTTGGAGCTAGGCTACGGCCTGTTTTCTCTTCTAGTAAATAACCTTCTGAAAGAAAGCATTCCAAGTCATGGGTGATCATTGGTCCGATGCTTTGGGCGAAACCTATTCCCAGGGTGTGACGGGCGGTGTGTACAGGGCCCGGGTACATATTCACCGCGGCATGCTGATCCGCGATTACTAGCGATTCCAACTTCATGTTCTCGAGTTGCAGAGAACAATCCGAACTGAGGCAATCTTTCCGGATTCGCTCCGCCTTACAGCCTTGCTTCCCATTGTAATTGCCATTGTAGCACGTGTGTGGCCCAGCCCATAAGGGCCATGCGGACTTGACGTCATCCCCACCTTCCTCCAGTATATCACTGGCAGTCCCTCGTGAGTGCGGCACGCACCTTTTTCTTTCTTTCGGAGCCCTTTTGGCGGGGCGTACTAAACCCACTACGTACCGCACCACCTATAGGTTCGCCTGAATGCCGAGTCTTTCTCCGCCGCCAACTCGACGTCGTCTTCACCTGCAAGATAAGGCCAAAAACTGGACTTTACTAAACAAGCGAGAAAACTTTCTATGTTATTAGTAAAGCGCGCTAGCTGCAATCAAACTAAAGCGCACACACAGACGAAAGGGCTTCGAAAGGCGCCGGCTCCCTCGACGGAGTCGTTTGGCACCTCGATGTCGACTCATCACATCCTGGGGTTGAAGAAGGTCCCAAGGGTTCGGTTGTTCGCCGATTCAAGTGGTACGTGAGTTGGGTTTAGAACGTCGTGGACAATTCGGTTCCTATCTACCGTTGGTGTTAAAGGGAGAACTGCGAGGAGCCAACCCTAGTACGAGAGGACTGGGTTGGGCCAACCTATGGTGTACCGGTTGCTATGCTAATAGCAGCGCCGGGAGGCTAAGTGTTACTATACTACGAGAATTTTTTTTCATTAAGCTTCCACAATCGATTCGTGAGCACAGACGATTTGATAAAGAGGATTTCCTTGATTCATTATTATGACAGTATAGAAGGGGATCCTCGGTGTCAAACAGACGAACAGTCTGCTATCGCTTAAGATAATAAGAGAAATAGATAAGCAGGCTTACCACTTCATCTGTTGTAGCTGAATTCAATGAATATACATAGGATGTGGAAAGTTAGCAAATAAGCTCCGTTACGGGCTTTAGAAGACCCGTAGCTGGCTCGAACTGGGCATTCATGGTTATGTCTTACTATTTATTTGGGTAAGAAGTGAATAATATAAGCCCGAAGATAGGGGTTAAGACTCGCCCCTCTCCCTTCGCCCTACGGGCTCACATATTCTAAACCTTCGCCCGCTTTTCGGGCGAACATATTCCCTCCCTCTCCTTTCAGTCGAGCAACTTCGTTCCTTCGCCCTTCGGTCTCACATATTTCTAAACCTATCGGTCGAGCTGCTTCCCCCCTCTCACTTCGTTCGAGCTACTTCGTTCCTCTAGGTGTGAGTTTAAACAAACGCCAATGGTCTCTCAAAGACTTTTTTTTCGCTTCGCCCCTACTATAACATAAATTTACTGATTTACAAACCTAAAAAAAAAGTCCCCCACCCATTTTGTAAATTTCATTAATAAAGTGTGGTGGCGAACACGCTGCCTATATGTCAGTCTTAATCAATTTGAATTTTATCGTGGTACGGAGAGACCTCTGCTTTTCTCTAAGTAAGTAGTCACCTTGCTGGCGCCAAGAAAGGCATCTCACCCTCTTTAGTATAGTAGACTAAGTCCGGAATCCGGATGGATGTCTAAGTCAATATTCTTTCTTGCTTGACGAAGGAAGCTGAAAAGGATGAAAGATGACATAGCTTCCCCCCAAAAGGGTATAGGCAGAAGCATAGGCTTATCACTACGCTAAATCCGACAATTGGATTCAACCCATTCTGCTAGTGCGAAAGCTGTTCCCGTTTCTTCGTGATCCGATCCGGTATCAGCGGATACTTTAATTTATCCGGGAAGGGTTGAAACAATGGAATGCAACGCAACAAGAAAACGCGTATGTTAATGTGAACTTATGTTAAAGTGATGCTTTGTCGATTCATCATTGAATCAGTAACGAATTCCGATCAAACTAAAATGGATGTTTCTTTTTTCACTCTCGAATTATCATAGAGAAAGAGTTGATGTTGATGGTCGAATTGTAAACAGATTTACGGTAGGTTCGAATCCACATGCGTCTTTTTTTTAGGTATGCCGCTCCGCGAGCAAGGAGCGAGAGAAGGAAGTGGGCTTTGGTGATGTCGGAATTTGGTTATTTATTTGTAAATTTTTTTTCTCACCTGATTTTCTGTTTGTTTTGGCTATCAGTCGTTGAAAAAAAGCAAAAAGGAGAGATGCTCCAAAAAAGCTGGGTAAATTTTCTCCTTTCTTTATTTCGCAAAAGCCAGGGGGAGAAATAGCAAGCAAACGACGATTGGGGGAGAGCAGAGTGCCGAGCGGAGAAGAGCAACAGTGCTTAGCGACTAGAGCAGCGCGCGAAAGAAGCAGCGGATCGAGAGGGAAATTGAATCGAACAACGTTTGATAATTCAGTATTCTTTTTTCCTTTGCATTGATTCGTGACTTGATGATTATAAACATGATTGTTTGTTTTATTTTCTTCATGAACTAAACCCCAATTTTTGGGGGAAACACCATAGGATGTAGCTATTTCTAGAATTGATGGATTGATTCATAGTTTTTTTCTTCCAATCTCTATTGCATGGAATTTATTAATGCTTTGTGTTGACTGGCCACCAATACATTGATTTGTAGTTAATTAAGTTATTAGCGACCGTGAAACCCTATTAACTTAACCTATTTCATGTGACATAGTAACTTATCGAAGCGACAGTGGATTAAATAAGGTGCTATGCGGTCTTAAATAGGATATCGATCTTCAGGCTAAATAATTAAGTCATTGAGCTACAACAGTAGGATTTGATTCAATTGTTTAGTACGTAGTAATTCCCGACAGGGATAGCTAGCACAGTAGTGATATCCTGGCCGTAGTTGGAATATGTGAATTAATTTGAATATGATAGGTAGTGAATTCCAGTGTTTCTCCCAGATTTTTCCCATTGAATTTCAACCCGACAATTTTAGTTGTTGGTTTTGTTTAATTATTAGATAGTAGTTTCATCATTAAAATCTTTTCACATAAGTTTGCTCTATAATATCGATAGAATATAAGGTTGTACCAGTCCCTGAGAGACGATACCCGGACTTCGCGGTTTTACTACGAGATAGAATTCAAGCATTACGCTTTTGCCCTATCAAGTTTTTGGCGCCGTTGCCGGGGACTGTCATACCTTATTTTTGTTGATTTTTGTGAGTGAACTATTTTGATCTGGGTTTTAGTGTGCAGAAGAATTTTCAGGTTTATCCTCCTCGTGCATGCCTAGGAGGACAACCAGGGATTTATTGCCACTAGACCCGGAGATCGAGAAGACCTGCCGCCAGAACAGGAAGCATGTCAAGTTAGGGAAGCAGCCAACCACAACTCCTAGGCCTTCCCTAACCCATAATCGTCAACAGAGAGGGCATGCTTCATCACCTGTCGTCCCTACACCATCTACACCACCACCTCGTGACATTGAGCCTGTCATCATGGCAGACGAGGATCGTTCGATCAGGGCTCGTTTGAATCGACGGACGGGAGCCCGAGCTTCATATGTTGTCATTCCGGCTGGGGATGCAACCATGGAGATTACATCAGCATTTATCAACATGATCACCAACGGGTATATTTTCTTGGGGGCTAGCACTGAGGATTCTCACGAACATCTTCGCCGGTTCGCGAGCATATGTGATACAATGAAGAGCCCAACTGTGTCTGATGATGCAATTCGTCTTCGGATGTTCTCATTCTCTCTGATAGGGAATGCATCACACTGGTTTCAGAACATAACACCACATTCCATCACGACATGGGCTCAGCTTGAGAAGGCCTTTCTGGATAAGTACTTCCCACCTGCCTTGGCAATGAAGAGGCAAGAGGAAATTGTTACTTTTAAGCAGGCTGATGATGAGAGTCTGACTGAGTCATGGGAGCGCTATAAGGGGCTATTGATGATATGCCCAAGCAATGGTCTTGAAGATTGGAACGTGATCATTATTTTCTTCAATGGAATCAGAAGGGAGTTCCGGGATGCCCTGAATAATGCTTCTTGACTCACTTCTACTGTCACTCTAGGAATTGGCCAAGTGTAACCACTTCCTAAAGCGTAGTATAACGGGTTTGGGTTTTAATGTCAACCCGGGTCCTAGATTTGATGACTACTCGGTGAATTTCTTGATATCTAGCAATGAAACTTTAATGCAAGTCTAAACTAACAAGAAAGCAAAGCAACTAAACGGTTGTTTTCAGGTTAAGAGAGGTCACCCGGATATGGTTCCCCCTAGACTACAGTTAAGCCGGATTGCAATTACCAAGTTCAGTTTCTATGATAGTTATACTGCGGAAGGTTCTTAAACAGCCTGAAGTCTCGACTAAAGGTCTTCAGACCCTCTCAATCTGAGTCTCTAGCGGGTGACTAACCTCCACTGGAGTAAACAGATTGAGGCCCTAACGAACAAAACCTCCACTACCGAAGTGAATTCGGTACAGAATAGTGAGTTGGCTCCTCGACTAAAGTCACCAACTCCCTACCTTCAATCAAGGATGCTCTATCAACCTAGGCATATATTCTCATTCTAGGTTAAAGCAGAAACAACAGGAATTTGATCAGGATTCATGCCATTCAATTATTCAAACCTCAATTGAATATAATCAAATCATAGAATCAGTACTTGGGTTCATACAATCAAACCTAACATACAAATCTAGGGTTCTCCATACCCAGATGAATGGGAGAACTACTCCATGGAGAAAGAAGCAAAAGCAGAATCAGACGCGGAATTCATACTGTGAAGGATGGATTCCTGCTCCTGGACGTTGATTGGCACTCCTCCAAGCTCAAGCCAAGCTCCAATGGTGATGAAGATCAAGCTGGGGCACTTGGAGACTCTTGTTCGTCGCTTTCTCTCTCTAGGAATCGCTCCGTCTCTCTAAAACTCGAATCCCCCTCTCTTTTGGCTGAAATCTGCTTAAAAGGGCATCACTGGGCAAAACACGGTCGAGGGCACGGCCGTGCTTTGATCCAGCCCGCCCGTGCTTTGCCAAGGGTTAATTACACGGCCAGCCTGTTGGGAGAAACACGGTCGTGCTTTTGGTGGACATGGCTGTGTTCTGTCTCAGCCCTGCCCGTGTTTTGAGCTAGTGTTTGCCAAACTCAGATCAAGTCTCGGCAGTAAAAGCACGATCTAGGAACACGGCCGTGTTCTGATTTAGGTGTGCCCGTGTTTTGGATCCAGCTCGACCGAATGACTTCCGAATGCCCCAAAACTCGTGCTTAGCCTTTCCTTTGACCCCTGGGACCTGAAATATGACAAAGTAGCACAACCCGGCGTAAAATAGGCCAAAAATACACGACTATGCCCCTCAAACGGATAAGAACTAGGGGTACAAATACGTGCAATTACATCGTTATCAAATTCCCCCACACTTAACCGTTTGCTTGTCCCCAAGCAAACCTAACTCAAACCAATGCAACTCTCCAGACCTCTATAGCAACAAACAACCCAGATTGTAGGTAGAGGACTTCCTAGATCATTTAGCAGCTTACGAGGTCAACCGACGCACAAGTCATCTCATAGCTTCTTCGGCGAGAGCACTAGTATCGAGTCGGCATCATGGCAAATAGTGAACAGAGGACAAATGAATCGTGGATGAAGAGATTCTAAAAAACAAAGGATCATGGACTCACATTTCTCAAGGTGCTCTATTTTCTTCTTGAAGATGGTTGGAACCCCTTTTCTTTCTGTTTTGCTTGTTTTCTGTTATTTTTTTCTTTTCTTTTTTTTCTTTCAAGGGTCCCAACCTGCTTTTCAGAAAATGGGGGCTCCCACCTAGCAAAGGTTTTGCGGGAGCTCGGCTCTTACCGGCCATGCCAGGAGCGGATGTCTCGAGCCTCATGCGGGGGAAAGACATGTAAGGGGGCTGGAGGTAGTAGGTGGAAATTGGGAACGAATTCCCGTCTCCCCTTATACACTTTCGCCCTATTCGCACGGGAGACGTTATTTTAAAGCACATTTTCGAGCACCTGTTAAACTCAAAACATGAAACAAGAGTCCATGACAGGTAGAGAGTCCACATCACCACACAATTCAAGGGTCCTAAGATCACTAATTCACACAATCAACCAACACAATATGAAGAAGAAACGAGACTTCTTAAATGCATCAACATCCTCCATAGCGCTACACTACCTCCCTAGGTTACACATTACTATAGAGACTGTCAATTCAAAGCATACTGAGCAGGCAATTGCAAGGAACACGAACTTGGAGCCCTCAAATATAAAAATTTGGACAGTGGACTAGGCTCCAAGCACACAAACATATCTAATGCAGTCAAAAGATAAACATCCCCCCCCCCCCCCCACACTTAAGATCGACATTGCCTTCAATGGAGAAGAGGGAAGGGAAAGGGGAACGATGTTACCGGTATGCACGGACTGCAGGAGACTGGAAGCGGACCAGTCGGAGTGAGCGGACTGGAGAGAGGACCAGTCAAGACAAGCACAGCTAAAGGAAACCAAAGAGCTCAAACACAATATGTTAGGTCCAATGGTCAGCCCAATAATACATCATCCAAAACAAAAGAAAACAAACCAAAACCAAACCAGTTTACAATCCGACTCAAAAACACAAGAAAGAAAGTCAAACCGTGGTGGGGTTGCCTCCCCACAAGCGCTTCTTTACCGTCTTTTAGCTGGACGCCCATGGTGGATACTCAGGGAGGTGAAGGAACAGGTGCCTCCAAGAGCGGATCCACGTCGCTCTTGAGGTACAACTTCAGGTTGTGGCCATGCACCCGACGGATGCAACCACCATCATCGGTCAGCTCGACCTGGCCATCTGGCAAGATGCAGGCGAGTGAGTACCCGGACGTGGGACCAGCTCGTAGTGGTCTCCACCCTTCTTCCGTGCAGGCTTAGCAACCTGCTGCTTCGGCCGCCACTCCTCCTTGATCCTTTTGTTCGGAGGCTAGACTGGATGGAGTGGCGGCGAAGGAATGATAGGAGGGTCCTGCAAAATGAGAGGTGCAGAAGGATACACGACAGGCTCGTGTACCCGATCAGAAATGGCATGCACAGGTGTGACAGCAATCATAGTACAGTGATCGAATTCAGTCACAGAAAAAGTAGCCTGTTCATTCCCAGCACGCAGGATCAGTTTACCATCATGCACATCAATAAGTGCCTTGGCGGTGGCAAGAAATGGTCAACCCAGAATCAAAGGCACATCCACATCCTCATGTATATCAAGAATAACAAAATCAACAGGATATGTGAATGCACCTACATTAACAAGCAGATCCTCTATGATCCCCCCTAGGATGCACAATGGAACGATCAGCTAGCTGAATGCTCATCCTAGTAGGGCTAAGTTCACCTAGGTCTAGCTTTTTATACAACTTATATGGCATGACATTTATGCTAGCGCCTAGGTCCGCCAAGGACTTGCCTACATGCATGCTGCCAATAGTAAGAGGGATAGTAAAACTCCCTGGGTCCTTGCGCTTTTCGGGAAGCTTGTTCTGCAGGATAGCAGAACACTCCTCGCTCAGCAACACTGTCGAGAGATCCCCAAGTTTCTTCTTGTTGGTGAGGAGATCTTTCATGAACTTCGCGTACTTGGGCATCTTCGACAGTGCCTCCACAAACGGTATGCTGATGTTGAGCTGCTTCAACATTGCCATAAAATTGGCAAACTCAGTCTCCAACTTGTCTTTGTGTAGGCGAGTGGGGAAGGGAAGCTGAGGTACATGCTCCTTAACCACTGGTTGTGGATTGGGAGCAGGGGCTTCCTTCTCCACCCGCACTTCTGCATCGTCGGCTGGAAGTGCTGAAGCAGGTAGTGGTTCCTCCTGCCTGGCCGGGACAGGATCAATAGATATGGTCTTACCGCTCCTGGTAAAAATGGCATCCAGCTGCTGATGCTGGTGAGGATCACGAGGATTCGGAATAGTGGTGGCAGGCAGAGTCCCCGGTGCCCTGGTAGTGTTTTGGCGGGCCAAGATACCCACCTGGTTCTGCAGATCTTGCAAAATGGCACCTTGGTTCCTCTGACCTGCTTCAAGTGAGGCTATGCTCTGGTCCAACCTCGTGACAGTTGCTTGAGTGCTAGTCATGAATGAAGCTAGAATATTTTCCAGCTTATTCATTCGATCATCTGGGGCAGGAGCTGCTGCTGGCTAGGCATACTGACGCTGGGGCTGCTGGAATGGTTGCCCCTGTCGAGGCTGGTAGGGCTGCTGCTGTGGGGCTGGCCCCTGTCTAGCCTGGAAAGGCTACCTCTGCTGAAAACCACCGGCTGGTGTTGGAAAACCAGGTGGTTTAGTGGTGTTGCTGCTCCAGGCGAAATTGGGATGCTGGAGCCACCCCTCATTATATGTGTTGCTGTACGGGTCGAGGCGCCGAGCATTGGCGATGAAGTCCAACTGCTCTTGGGGAGTAGTAGACTCCCTCATAGCCTGGCAGTCTTCCACTAGGTGATTTGAGCTCTCACACCACTGACATTGAGCTACCGGAGGTGTAGCCAAACCTCTGCCCGGAATAAGACTGTTGGGCTGCTTCAATGTCTGCACTAACTCAGCTACCTGCTGCTCGAGCCCGGATCTGGTCTCCATGGCGTGCACACCACGGTCCCGGGAATGTCTGCCTCTGCTGCTCTGCCCCCAAGAATGATCTCTGGCAGCCAAGGTATTGATCATCTGGTTCAGCTCGGGTGGAGTCTTAGTAAGAATATCCCCTCCTGGGCATAGAGACTCAATCACCCTCTGGCTGTCCGGAGAGAGAGCATTGTAGAAGTTCCCCACTGTGAATGCATCACTGAAGCCATGATGGGGACACTGCCAGAAATATCCCATTTACCGCTCCCAAGCATCACGAAGTGACTCATCTGGCTCTTGGCGGAAGTGAGTGATCTCCCGCTGGATCTCTGTAGTCTTCAATGCCGGATAGTACCTGTGCACGAATTTGTCAGCCAGATCGTCCCAAGAGGTGATGGACAATGGGGGCTGGGTCTCCAACCACCTCTTAGCATTCCCCGCCATAGAATGGGGGAAAAGGTGAAGGCGGATTGCATCATCGGGGACACCATTCAGTTTGAACCCGTTCGTCAGCTGCAGAAAACGGGAAAGATGTACCCTGGCCTCCTCATCCTTCAAGCCATGGAAATGGATAGAGGATGTAATGAGCTGAATCCAGCATGGCTTGATCTCGAAGTTGTTTGCTGGAATAGGCGGGTAGAGGATGACCGGGCGGATGTCAGCAATCCGTGGAGTGTAGTAGTACTCCAAGGTGGGACCCGGCGGCGGGTGATGATGATGAACCCCATCTGCCTGGGGTATGGGGTTGTTCCCCAGGACCTGATTCACCGGGGGAGCCTGCTGAGGATTCCCCTGGTGTGGATTGTAATCGCCGTCCATCCCGTACTCTTCCTCAGAATCGCTGCTCAAGTGGCCTTCTATGCGCTCTTCCGTAGCCAGTCTAGCTCGCTGTTGTCTCCTGATTTGGCGACAGGTGCGGTCAATCTCTGGGTTCAACGGCAGTAAACCTCCCGACTGGCTACGGGTCATGCACTACCTGCACACACTCAAGCAAGCAAACCCGTGAAGGCACAAGTGGGACAAAGCAAATAATGCGAAAAGAAAAGCTAAATTAACAGAAATCACTTTTCTTC